CAGCTCAGGGGCTGCGGGGCTGCTCTCTCATGCAAGTGCAGATTTTTTTCCCTGCTTTTCTCTCTTACATGCCCACAGCGTGTTCTCTCCCAGCGCCAAAGAGCGGGACTGGGTGGGGAGGTGCTGCCTGTGCCTCAGCCCTCTGAGGCAGGTTCCTGTGGGTTGGCAGGTGGGTTTTCTTTGAGCAAGGATTTTGCTGAGCGGAAGGCTGGAGTTTGTTTGGGTGAGACTGAAACCAAGATTCTGATGCTGCAAGCTATGCTGGTGGCCACTCTTCCTGGGAGCTGAGTTTGCCCCGGTGTTGCCAGTGCCAGTGAAGACACTGCTGCCAGCAGAGCTGGCTCACGGGCCGCCTTCAGGTCTGCCACCGTTGTGCAAGGCAGCCGATTGGGAGGCTGCTGTTCCACCCCAGAAGTGACTGTGCTTGGCACTGGGGATCTTGCTGTGTGAGATAAGGTGTGAGCGCCCAGCCCCGCTGGTGCGTGGCCGGGCACGGGCGTTGTCAGATGCAGCCCTTTAGCAGGAGAGCACTTCCTGGAATTGCCTGGAAGGTGTCCCGGGTCATTTGTCAGCATGAGAAAGTGCACCCCACTGCAGGGCTGCAGGATGAGTGGCATGGGCACCACCACATCCCTAACACTGTCCCTGTTGTGGGCGCCTCATGGTCTGCAGTTCTCCCAACACCCTTGAGCTCTGTTGGTTTTGCAGAGGATGGTCTGTGGAGGCCTCAGCATGGTGGGAGCCTAATGGGGAGGCTCTTGGTGGTGGGATTGTGCTGACACCAGTGTCTGTCGCACGACACACAGCCCCTCTCCAGCCATCTGCCTTGGCAGAGAGCAAATCCCAGGGCAAGCAGCTGGCAGCACAGATGCGGGCTCCCCCGACTCCCGACAGGGCTTGTAGCTCCCACCCCCTCCCCAGCATCTCCCCACAGGGACAGCAGTGAGACCAAACCCATTCCTAGACCAGAGCTACCAAACATGGAGGTGTGGGGGCAAACACCTCAGTCCCAGTGGGGCAGCAGTGTTGTGGTGGGGAACAGGCCCAGCTGACCCTGCCCTGCTGAGCTGCAGCTCTGGTGAGCGGCTGCAGGGAGCACGATCCTGGCCCAGCACCATGTCCTTAGCTGGGCCCTGTCTCATTCAGGCTCAGCCCCAGGGTGAGGGGGATTGGGCAGTGCTGGTAATCCTGCAGTACCCAAGGGATTACTGCTCGCTCTGGTGCGGGGGATTAAGGGATTTCTCTAAGCAGAGCTGATGCAGCCTCCTGCAAAGCAGCTTGTGCTGGGGGGGCCTCACTGTCTGGGGCAGGATGGCTGGTACCAGGAGGCAGGTGGGCTGCACGAGGTGCAGGAGGACCCCACAGGAGGGTGGGTTGTCAGGTCCCCCTACAGGTGGGGATTCTCCACCCGGGGATGAGCAGGGATGGCACCAGGCTTGGAGAGCAGACCCAGGGCCTGGGATCAGTGGGGCTTGGGCAGTGTAGTGCTTGGCAAAGGCAATGAGCCAGCTCCTCTCCCAAGATACTCAGGAGCAGAGAATGATAAGCCACATTGTTGACACTCAGCAGTTACAGGTCAGGGACAAGCAGGGCCCGTGTGTCCCCAAGTGGCTGTTTCAGCCCATCTGGGTGCTGTGCTGTCGTGGTGAGGCCAGGGGGAAGCTGCTCTCCGGGGCCCTGCTTTCTGGCAGGCAGAGGACTGGGGCTGGAGCCATGGTTAATGCAACCCCAGGGTGTTTGTAAACACCCCACCTCACCCAGGCTAGGTGTGAGGATCGAGCTGGGTGTCCACGAAATTGCTCAGTGTGGGAGGTGCTTCCTGGCCCTGCTTTAGGCCAGCCAGAACACCTATGGGTGTCCTTGCCACAGGGGCTTTCTCCAGATGCTGACCTTGCTTTCTCCAGCTGCTGACCCAGGCCTCAGGCAGGTGTTTGCCATACCACATGACTGGCTCAGTCCCTTATCCCCCCCGGCTCCTCTCGCCTGCCCTTGCGCCTCCCTTGTGCCTCCCAGTGATGTGGCAACTACCGCTTGAGCCCCTGGGAAAGGGGAAGTGGTGCTGAAAGCAGAAAGTCTGTCATGTCAGCAATGAGCGCCTGGCTGCCCTCACAGCTGCTGGAGCTGCCCTTGTCCTCCACCTTCCCTCCCATCTGCTTCTGGGACCAGGGGTCCCCTCCTGCTCCACATCCCCCTGCCTTCAAGGGCAATTTGCTCCTGGGTGCCCTTCCCTACTGCCTGCCCAGCTCTGTTTTCTCCTAGCTCAGCATGTCCCAGTCCTTGCCGGCACAGGCAAGTGGAGGAGCTGGCTGGCTCCACAGGACACTGCCTCATGCCCCGACAGGCTCTGGGGTTTGTTACTCACAGCCATGCCCTGTGCTCGGGGATCGCCTCTGCTTTGAGGAAAAGAGCTGTCAGTCCGGTTTAGGTTCGCTCAGTGCCCCTGGGGCTGGGGGATCGCAGGTGCAGTGGGGTTGGGAGGTAGGAGGGCTGCACCTTCCCCCCAACTGGCC